TATATATATATATATATATATATATATATATATATATATATGTATATATATATTTATTTATATGTGTGTGTGTGTGTTTGGGGTTGCCAATGTTTTTTTTTTTTGCGCCCTGAATGGGCATGCGCATACCAACACATGTGCTCTCTTGCTCTCTCTCATACGCGCAAAACACATGGGTCGCGCTGCACTGAAAATAACTGTCGCAATTGAGAGAGACAATCGTACAGTGAGACTAAACGTTTGAGAAAAAGTACGTACAAAAAGTACAAAAAATGCCTGATATGCCAACAAAAAAAAAACAACAGCTGCGCAGATTCGACAAAGTCGTTAGGATGGTGTGGGTCGGGGGAGTGCATATCTGGCTGATGCCCATTTCCAATTGCACGGGGCGCATAGACGCCTAGTCGACAGTCGTGCACAGATTCTCGTAAACAAAACGCTCGAAATTTGCGTACCACGTGTGTAGTCTGAATGCGCGTATAAATATATTTATATCTATCTATACATACATATGTATATACGCGTATGAGTTGTGTGTGTTTGCCGGAGTCTATAAATGTATGTACAAATATATTTAGTGCAATTGTTTCGTGCAGCTGATTTGTTGTTGTGCTTGGTTTAATACCGTTTTTTTTCTTCCTCCTGTTTTTCGAGGGCTACTAATCAACATTTAAATTTGCGACACATCCGCTGCGGTTATTACTCAAAAAAATATATACATATGTACATATGTGAGTCGTTCGAGCCCGCGTAGAAATATATGTGAATATAAATAAGTGTGTATATATGTATGTATAGAATATATACCTTATACATAATATTAAAAAAAAAAAACCAGATCTGTGACATGTGTGTTTGTCTTGTCCAAGGACCCTTGGCACAGCGTCGTTGCATCAAGCAATATAAAAGGGCGAAAATCAAAGTTGAATTTATTGCAAACGGCATTGACTTCACTTACTACTACATGCATACATGTATGTATATGGGCATATACGTGTTGTATTAGGTCTATGTATATGTGTGTGTATGCACACATACATGTTGTGTTGCAGCAACTCTAACGCAGGCGCCTGCGCCGACTGAGCGACTCGCAATTTCTACGAGTACATGAAATGTACAAACACACACACACACAAACACACATACATATGTATATCAATGGGCACGTGCGTAAAGAATCAATTCGCTTCTTAACTAAAACTTATAGTCAGCTGCGATAATTACTATCGCGATCGAATGACATCGCTAACAAACTGAAGATCGGCTCATGCCTTACAGTGTCACTGGGATATAGAAATTATTAATGAAAGTATATATTGGAATCATTATTGAGAATGTTTGTTTATTTGTAGAAAAGACCTGGTAACCAGTCGAGAATAATCGCTGTAAAATAATATGAAAATAAATATATTTGCACTTAGTTTTTTTTTTTTTTTATTTATTTATTTATTTTTTTTTTAATGAAAGTAAATAAATAATGCCATACATGCGAAGTTTAATACATACAATGTACATACATATATACAAAATAGACAACAACAAATCTGCTCTTATCTTAATGTGTTAATTTGAACAATCATTTTTATACACAAACTGAATTCAGCTTAACTCACAAAAGACAGAAGAAGAAGTGAAAGAGAGTGGGGGAGAGAAAGAGAGAGTTGCTAAATGTTAACTGTTCCTCAAAGTATGCATCATTATGAGCTGTTCAGTATGAGACATTCTGCCGTTGTGTTGCATAAGCGAAAGGAGTATTAGCATATAGCAGCAGCTGCTTTAGACATGGAGGCTGAGCCATACCCAGACCCTTTCACCGTTCGACTGATTGGATGAGACAAACATTTCATCATTTACTTTACTGCCAACACACTTCAATCTGTTTTCTGTTTACTTTTATTCTCTCGTTAGAAACTTAGACGTGTCATCGATTGTTTGTTTTTTATTTTTTGTTACTTTTTTATGATTTTTCTACGTTAGTTCGCGTTTCGGGTAGTTAGTTCTTGAAATTCGCAGATATATTTAGATAACTTATTAACAATTGACAACTTATTAACATAAGACATTCGTTATTGAAGTAACCATTAATAAGACAATGCACATGATAGTATAAATTTTCTTTTGTTTTCTTTATTTGTTGTTTGTTTGGTTTTGTTTTTTTTTTGTTTTTTGTTTTTTTTTTTTTTTAATAAATATATATATTTTTCTAATGTTTTGAAAATTTTTGATTAAATTTTTCATTACTTGCGGTATATTTATATTGTGCAGAACGACGCTGTTATCCTTCGTCTATCTGTCGTCGTCGTCATAATTGTCGTCGTCGTCATCGTCGTTTTCGTCATCGTACTCGTCGCAACACAGCAACAAATTGAAACAATAGCAGCACGCGGTTCCATTGCAATAACGGTACCCATAACGGATCAACGCAAGAAACGAGAGCCCACAGGAAAAGAGGAACAACAGAGCCGAAGTCCTAGAGGCAAAATGCAGACGCATAAAAAGTGAAAGGAGGAACAGAGGAAGTACCAAGCAATAGCAGAGCTAAACTGAGCTTGTTGTGTGTGTGTGTGTGTGTGTGTGTGTGCGTGAGCGTGCACGAGCGTAAGTGCCTGTGTATGTTCGTCTTCGTGAGTACAGCAGCTATCGAGCACACACTCTCACATTGAAACACCCATTCTCTCGCTAACGCCTACCTGACTGGCTGTCTGTGTGCGCGGTTGTTTGTGTGTATTAGTGTAGCAGTAGCAGCAGAAGAGAGATTCATACATCGACTGTCACACTTACACCCATTTGCAGTGTGCAATTGGCATGGCTGCAAGGAGTGCGAGCAAGGAACAATAGCAACCACAATTGGGATATGCAGCTATAAGAGAAGATTGATAGTTAAGTAAGCGTAAAGGACTTGAAACCAAAAATTACAACACCAGCAAAAGTAACAGATAAAGAAACTTAAGCAACAAATATAATATTGAACAAATTGCAAGTTACAAGAAACAAACAGCGAGAAAAATTAGAAAGAAAAAGGAGTGAAAGAGCTTAATAAACTCTGCCCGCCTCACAGTCACAATTGAGCAAAAAAAAGGAATACGAAGTAATCAAACGGTTAATTAACAAGTTGCTGGCAACATGAGCACACTGCTCGAGGAGCTGAGTCAATCACTGACTACGGTGACAATAGAGGAACAGCAGCCGCAGCAACAACAGCAGCTGCAGCAGCATCGGGTCACAATGAGTACGACAATCTGCGAGGATTCGATTTCATCGTCGGTGCTGGAAGACATCGATGTGAGCAATACGAGCAGCAGCAGCAGTACCAGCAGTACCAGTAGCAGCAGCAGCAGCAGCAGCGCGAGCAGCAACAGCAGCAGCTGCAGCAATGGCACTGGAACGGACACGGACACCGGCAAGGGCAGCAGCACCGTGGGCAGCATTGATACGACGCGAGTCAGCTCGTCCAGCATTGGATCGGCTGCATCGATTACATCATCGGTATCAACAACCGCCCCATCCACGTCCAATTCATCGGGCCTCGGTCTGGTGGTCGATGTGGATAGCAATATTGGCAGCAGCCAGGAGCTGAGCCATGGCTATGAGTCCAAGAGCGTCACGGAGCTAGATTCCCTGGAGGATACGTGCGGCTCCATGCTCAAAGATGCCGACAAGAACTGCATGCTATGCAGGTGAGTTTCTAGCTGACAATATTTAACTTTGGCCATCATTTAATATCGATAAAAAGGTTAGCAAAATCAATAGTAGCTAAAGGCAGCTCAAAAAAAGATCTGTAATCGATTTCCTACTATCGATAAACAAGTAATATTTGATATTCATTTTTATTTTTATCAATGTTAATGTATAAAATATATATATAACTATGACAAAATAGAAAATATGTTGCTCTAATAATTATAGATAGCTTGATTCATCGATAACTGTAATCAAATAGCCAAATATATAATCTATGTATATTCATAGCTAGCTAGCTAAAAGAAAATTCCTAAAAATGCTGCTCTTTTTACTATTAGTAAAAACCTTGATTTATCGTTACTATCGATGGCGCCAATTAAATCGAAATTGAATTTTTAAAAACCATTTCCCATCATTTGTAGCTCGCGTTTGGTTATGCCGCGAATTCTATCCTGTCTGCATGTATATTGCGAGGATTGCCTGCTCAATTTGCTACGCAGCAAGGAGGCGGCAGCGGCAAGCTCACCGGCCACATCCCTATCGTCGGCGGCCAGCTGCTCGTCGGTCTCGTTCGATGGCAGTGAGAATCAGCGGTTGCATACGGTGCTGGAGTGTCCCGTTTGCAAGCAGCTGACCCATCTGGGCAGCAAGGGCGTCAAGGGACTGACCATGGACTATATTGTGACAAATACGCTGGATCTGTCCAATCTGGAATCGGAGCATATACCGTGCACGTCCTGCAAGAGCAAAGAGGAGGCCATATCACGTTGCAATGACTGCGCCAACTTCTTGTGCAACGGCTGCGACAATGCGCACAAATATATGCGCTGCTTCGAGAACCATCAGGTGGTGCGCATCGAGGATCTGCAGAAGAATGTGCAGAACGACAAGCTGATCATACACAAGCCAATCTGCTGCCGTCAGCACGTCAATGAGAATCTCAAATACTATTGCTTTACGTGCCAGGTGCCCACCTGCAACGATTGCCTGCTGAGCGATCATAAGGGCAACGATCATCACTACGAGACCGCTCTGGTTGCCGAGCAAACAGTTCGGGCCGATCTCGAGCAAACACTGACGGAGACAGCGAAGAAGGCACAATATTGCAACGATGCGGGAAGCAATCTCAGCAGTGCTCTAACCGAACTCCAATCGCAGCACGACAATGTCCGACAGCAGATCGATGATGCGTACAAGGGCTATAAGCGCATTCTCGAGAACATTCGCGATCAGATGGTCACCGATCTGAGTCGCTTGCACTCGGAGCGCGAGCTGAAGATCATGGATCTGATGCAGAGCCTGGAGAATAACATGGGCCGACTGCAGCATGCCTCCCAGTTCGGTCAGCGTGCCATCGAGAAGGCAAATGCCATTGAGTTTCTGTTGCTGAAGCCGGTGATCAGTGCTCAGTGCGCCAATCTGATCGATCAGACACCCCAGAGCGATGTCAACTATCAGCTGCAGTTCGACTGTATGCCCGAGAAGTTTGAGCGTTTCGCGCGTGAAATGTTTGGCAAATTTCGCACCGAATCAACGAAAAGCCAAAATGCACCTGGAACTGCGGCAATGGCCGAGACGGCGGCCTCTCCGATGGCCACGCCCAAGCAGCACTCGCCGCCGCCATCGAACTTGGCGCCCGGCTGCCATGGCGTTGGCATGCTGCCGCCTGGAGTACGCAGCCTGGCCGGAGTCGGCAGCAGCTCCGTCAACAACAGCTCGGTGCAGGGACGGCTGAGCTCGGCAGCTGTTTTTAGTCCCATATCGTTGCCATCGTCGTTGCAGAGCTCCTTCGATGGCGACACCTCAGTCATGACCAACTTCTCCATGATGAGCACGCTGCCGCCCGATTCGCCGCCGCAGCTGCAGCAGCAACAGCAGCAGGCGCTGCAACAGGCGCAACAGCAGCAACAGCAGCAGCAGCAGCAGCAACAGCAGCAGCAGAAGCAACAGCAGCAACAGCAACAAGCGCTGCATCAACAGCCCCAGACGCTGCCCGTGACCCAGCAAATATCGCAGATGGTAACGCCTCAAGGCATTGTCCAAGTACCACCACCCTCGGGGCATGTCAGTCTCAATGCTGGAGCGACTAACAGCGCTGTCGGCATGGGCCTGGGTGCCCTCAATGGACTGGGCATGAATGCTGGCGGACCAACACCTCCGTTCAGCATGCTTGAATACAATCTCTCACGATTGGCCAGTCTCACGGAGAGCATACCGGACGCCATGAGCGATACGTTGGGCGTGGGCAGCTCTAGTGCGGTGGCTGTTGCTGCCACTGCCGGCGCCGCCGGCGGCGCTGCATCCCATCATCAGCAGCCGGTAATTCCGCCCTCTGGCGTCACGCCCACCCAACCCATAACACTGGCCGACATTCTGTCCGGCGATCAGCGCGCCCTCAACAATCTGCAAGCTCTGGCTAAACTGGGACTCAACAACAATGGTGAGTGGCGCGATCTTCGAAACTGTTAGCTCTGTTCGATTGCCTGCTTCCATACTACTCGGCTCACATAGTACACTAACTGCAGACAGATAAACAAAAGAGACAATTTTGATTTTCGTTTATATGCGATTCTCGAGCTCAATATTATGTGAATGCTCTGGCTCTGCGAGTAATTTATTACTAATTTTAACTAATATATACATATATAAATATATATTGTGAGCTTGTAGTGAATATAGTTTATATATTCCTCTTTGCTTTCATCTATATATATATATATATTTATATATGTATTATAAATATATAAATTGCTCTCCGACTCTGTTTGTTTATCTCTTTATCGCATTTCTTTTGTAATTAATATTATTTGAAATGAGATTTTGTCAAGCTGACACGTATATAAACTAGCTCAAGTTCTTCGAGCAATGTAATACTAATATGATTAACTAATTCCAATGAGATATCTTACCATATCTCTCTCTATATAACTTTCCTTGTATTTCTTTTTATAATTTTATTCTTTATATTTATTTTTAGTTTATATGATTTTGAATAAGATCTTGTGAGGTTTTAACTACCAGCCTTTCTATGCGATTTTCATTGATGTTGTCTGCAGTGTTTTAAGCGTATTGGCATTCTAAAAGAACTTTTATTTTCGTAGTATTTGTTATTAATGTTTTTTTTTTTTTGCAAATTTTAAGTTTGTTTTTATTTTGTTTCTTTCCTTTTCTTTTTCTTTTTCCACAATTGACACCCCACAACAACCAACAACAACAAAAACACCGTCACTACTACTACTACTACTTCTACTACTACTACTACTATTACTACCACTACAACCACTACTACCAACAACAACAACAACACTTTCCAAAACACCATCCAACAACAACACACAGATGAGCAACACGATTTGTTGTCGTCGAACGGAAGCTCAACGTGCCTTGATTATATTTTAACAGATTTCTGCATGCCAGCAGCCACATCACCCAATCTTCAAACACTGAATCCAATTGTTGGCGGTGTCGAGGAGATGAGCCTCAACAATTTCCATGCTGTGGCCCAGCCGGGCACCACCAGCGTCGTAACTGGCCGCAATAAGGCCACGCCCATGCAGATACGCTGTAAATTTGGTTCGCTCGGCACGGCCAAGGGCCAGTTTAATTCGCCGCACGGCTTTTGTCTGGGCGTCGATGAGGAGATCATTGTCGCCGATACGAACAATCATCGCATCGAGGTCTTTGACAAAATGGGCGCGCTCAAATTTCAATTTGGTGTCGCCGGCAAAGAGGAGGGTCAGCTCTGGTATCCTCGCAAGGTGGCTGTCATGCACAACAATGGCAAATTCGTGGTCTGCGATCGAGGCAACGAACGCTCCCGCATGCAAATCTTCTCCAAATGCGGACACTTTATGCGAAAAATTGCAATTAGGTGCGTGCTGACCTAAGCCCCATATATAGTAACTGTGTGCTAATTGTGTGATCTCTGCATAGGTATATTGATATTGTTGCGGGTCTGGCTGTAACTGCCAAGGGGCACATTGTAGCCGTCGACAGCGTCTCGCCCACCGTTTTCGTCATTTCCGAGGAGGGCGAGCTGGTGCGCTGGTTCGACTGCAGTGACTACATGCGTGAGCCATCCGATATTGCCATACGTGGTGAGTGCACTCCGCGTGACAGCTGCCATTAAGAAATTCTACTCACACGTATATATTTTGTATTTCTCGCTTGCAGACAACGATTTTTACGTGTGCGACTTTAAAGGGCATTGCGTGGCCGTTTTCCAAGAGGACGGCACCTTCCTTTATCGCATTGGCAATGAGAAGGTCACCTGCTTCCCCAACGGCATTGACATATCGAACGCTGGCGATGTACTCATCGGTGATTCACACGGAAATCGCTTCCATGTGGCCTGTTACTCACGGGAAGGCGTACTGCAATCCGAATTCGAGTGCCCACATGTCAAGGTTCGCATATGAAACACGATTAAAGCGTACTTCAACTAGCTTTTGGAATGAGAATTGTTTAATTATATAAATATGTATATAGTTATAGCACCTATTTATATATATATATATATATATTTCTATGATTACGTATGGGAGCGATGGCGCTTGATGCGTGTGCTAGGGTCGTAGGGCAATCGGTGGCTCCCCTGCACATATTGTGCGAATTACAGTTGCTCTATGATGATATTATTAATTCAATTATTGTTTATTGTGCAGGTTTCACGTTGTTGCGGTTTGAAAATCACCTCTGAGGGCTATGTTGTAACATTGGCCAAGAACAATCATCATGTTCTGGTCCTGAACACACTGTATGTTCACTGATTGCAAATCAAAGCGCGCAACAATCGTCCAGCTGTCGATCTGATCAAATACAACTATAAATACTCGTCAGGTAAAATATATGGATGTCGCAGGCAACCGCAACAGCATTGTCAACATCATGAAAATAGGAAGCAACTAAAGCAGCAGCAGCAGCAACAGCAGCAGCAGCAGCAGCATCAATCAACAGGCACCAGCAATAGCATAATCAATAGCAGCAGGAGAACCAACAGCAGGAGCAAAAACGACGTGGAGCAGCATAGCAATAATCCCATTCGAGCTAAATCGTCGCCGCCTTCCATATAAATAAGCTTGAAATAAGGGCCAGCCAAGCACCTTGAAATCAATGATTGCGAAATAAAAGGGAAAGGCGAGAAAAAAATAAAAATAAAAAATAAAAATAAATAAATAAATAAATAATATAAATAACGAGCGTAAAATCTCGAATCTCGAACCACGTTATCAACAAAATTGTTGTCAACGTACAACAGCAACAAGTAGCAACAAAAATGCAACAATACTATTTTTGATCTCTAATTTAATAGAAACAACTACAAGAAAAAAATACCTAAAACCTAAAACGATTAGCGCTACTAAAACAACAAATAATTAACAAGCATCTATGAAGATCTATAACAAGAAACAAAAGAACTTTAAAGTGTAACAACAACAGAAAAAAAACCTAACAAAATGAAAAAAAAAAAAAAAAAAATTGGATGAAAACTTACCATATATCTCAACGCGTTCTAAAGAAGCTCTAATTTAATTTTTTTTTTTCCGTTTCGATTTGAAATATGTTCTTGTTACAACTTTCATACAATATACAAAATGACACTCACACTCACAATTGAACAACATACACAAACACAAACAGAAACAGCAACAGCAACACACATACACGCTCACACACAACTTCATGTTACTTATTATCTATGTATAGGCATATTGTTATATCTACGCATTAGCTATGTTTGTGCAAAACCCCTTCCAGAATCTTTTTTCAACAAAACAAAAAAGAAAAACAAAAAAGAAAAAAACAAAAAACAAATACCAAAACAAACACGCATATATTTTACATACAATATATATATACACACAACTCACATATATATATATCTATATAAACATATGTATATACATATGTGTATATATTCATATACATATTTGTGAAACGTGCACGTTTTGTGCACATTTCCAAAGTGGACAGGAAAAACCAGGCAATAATTAACAAGAACAACAACAACAACAACAAAACATCTAAAATTATGTACAACTAACATATATTTTCAATTTTAACAACTACAAAAAAAAAAAAAAAAAAAAAAAAAAAAAAAAAATTAAAACGGAAGAGACACGTGTTTAGGTTTTTCCTTACTGCTGCTTATATAAGGTGATATTTATTTATATATATATATACATATACATATACGTATGCGTATGTGAATATATAGCCTATATATATGTATGTATGTATATGTATGTATTTAACAAAACAAAAATATCTTACAACTGACATACATATATGTGAATCCTACGACTTTGCCATATATATCTATATATATATACAGAGAAAATAACACACACATATATAAATATATATATATATATATATATATATATATACTGATTTTTGTCACTGTATATATGAATTATATACAGATTGAATGAAAAAAGAAAACACAAATATTAGTATACATTCTGTGTGTGTGTGTGTGTGTGTAGAAGGTTTTTGTGTGTGTGTGTGTGTGTGTGTGTGTGTGTGTGTGTGTGTGTGTGTGATATATGTTCTCATTGTCGCGTTTGAGTGTGTGTTAGTAATAATAACAAACAAACAAATTCAAAACATACAAACTAAATGTAAGCTAACAAACCAAAATGCATATAACAACAACAACAACAACAACACAATAATAAAGGCATCAAATTTTGCAATGCATTAGGCCAACAAACTAACTAAAGAAAATCAACACTAAAACGAGACACACAAGCAAAAGAAAACCAAAAGATTACAAACAAAAAATGAAAAGAAAAAAACTATTGTTAAGTTCTATATATATATTTACAATGTTAAAATGATATTCCTCTTGCTTATATACATACAAAAAACTAAAAACAAAATACAAACATATACATATACGTGTGCATATGCCCACATTTACACAATATATATATATATGCTATATATATGTTTACAAACGTATGTATATGGTATTTATGTAAAGTAAGGACTCTTCTAGTAGCACATATTGGGGCATGTGCCATTTCTTTCCCGTTGTAATAAAATATATAAGGCTGGTTTACTCCCAAGACATTATTATTTTTTAAACAAATGAATAACATACTATTATTATTATTATTATTATTATTATTATTATCATTATTATTATTATATTATGATTAATTATGTGAATATTATGACTTTGTTGTTCTTGATTCTTTACGATGACAAAAATAATTCTTTGTGAATTTTTTATTATTATTAATATTAATATTATATAAATCGCAATTTATTTTTGACTATGTTTTAAGTGAAAAGTCTAGAAAATGATCAATTGTCGGTTATGATCAGTTATTATGTAAGAAAAGCAAAGCAACTTATTTTTTCTATAGGCTGTAACAGACACACACACATACACATACACATACACACACACACACACATTTTATTATATACAACACACATACAGTGACACATACACATATACACATACGAAACGTATCGAAAGTGAATTTTACGCATATTGTATTTGTGTATGTTAAGCAGTTAATGGATTTAACATTATATTAATTATAATTTTATACATATATATATATATATGAAAAAAGAAGATAATGTAAAAAAAAACTCCTGTTTAGTGATTCGTTTAACGCTGTTGAATTTGAATGTGTTTCATATGAATATAACTTCTAATCTTGTCATTTATTTAATACTAGTAAAACATGTACATTATATGGAATATATATGTATGTATTTACATATATATATACATATGCATATTTATGATTTTTCCTTAAACAACAAACAAAAGTTGTCTAAACCATTTTATATTATGTACTTTTTGTAAACAAAAACAAAAAGAAAAAACAAACATGTCAAAACATATTTATGTTTATAATTTTCTGCTTAATTTTATATATTTTGTTGTCATTTTACTTTTGTATCTTTTGTTCTGAATTTTTATTTTGTATTTTGTTTTTTTCGTTTGTTGCAACTACGTGTGAGGCTACACCAATTTATATACATATATAATGTATATATATACATTAATATATTATGTGAAACCAAGAAGAACTATCTAGCTCTAGCTAAAACTAAAACTAAAACAAAACAAAACTAAACTAATTGTATAAGTTTGTGAAACGCTTTTAATTGTCTTACGATTAATTTTAATTTGTATCCATTTTGTTGTTGTACAACTGAAATATTGAAAACTTGAAAACAACACAGAAACATCATGTTTTGATTTGATGAATTTCTATTTACATATTTACCTTGTTTACCTTAATTAGTTAAGCTACTAAAGAATCACTAGCAAGAGAACAGCTACACCTCCTATCCAAAGTTGTTGTCGAAGTAATGAATTAACTGAAATCCATATAACGATGACGAAGATGATAATGATAATGAAGAAGAAGAAGAGTGGAAGAAAAATGCAATTTTTGTGAACAATTTGGCTGTTGAAATATAATTTTAATTTGATATATTCGTAAATACGTTATGATGATTTTAGTTAACTCTATTGAATTAAGCTTACATCATGTTATATTGTGTACAATAATTTTATTTTAATTTTATTATTTTGTTTAATATGTTTAGATCTAGACCCGCCCCATTGTCCTTCACCGGGGGGGCCCCTCTATCCACTATACAAACCATAATTGAAATGTGCTTAGTGAATTTACATAGATTTCTTATGCGACAAGAGCAAAAACTAAATGAATAAACAAGTATTATGTAAACAACACACACGACAAATCTAGCAAAAACACACAGACAAACAACAACGAGAACAACAGAAACAACAACAACACAAATGTGAAATATGCCAAATTTTGTTAACTTTCTTTTCTCATTTGCGCCTTAAATAGTCAAACGAAAATTCTGTGAGCAAACAAAACAAAACAAAACAAAACTCTTAAAGTTTATATAGATATATATATATAAACACATGTTTTTGAAACAACAAATTACTTATTTCAAAAACGACTTTTTACACTTTGTTTCTAGTTTTTACGAAAAAGCCTTCAAAAAGAGGAAGAAAAAAAAAAATGAAATTGTAATTCCACACGCTTTTATTTATAACATTTACAACAATTTTTTTTTTTTACTTTTTAGTTTGAAGTGAAAACAAAATAGCAAAAACAAAAAAAAAAACAAGAAAAAAAATACTTTTGTTTCAAACAAAAATAAAACTTTTTTAGGTTTAATTCAGATAAATAAAAAATGTGTGAATGAAAAATCCAAAACAGATGATATTAAGTTAACGAAAACAAAACTGTTTCAAAATGAAAACACACAAAAAAAACTATGGAAAATTAAAAAAAAATAATAATAATATATACACATACACACACATATATATACATACACATGTAAACACAAAGAAACGTTAACTAATTGATTTCCTATTGCATACAAATTTATGAAAAAATGTGCTTAAGTTTAAATCAAATTTACAATTTAGTTGAGATTATGAACTAAAAAAAAAATATATATAAAAATAAAAACAAAAAAAAAACCTTTTACATAACAAGTTTATGTAGAACGTTTAGCGAAAATATATATATAAATATATGTATACATATATTCATATGTATGTACATACCTATGTAAGTTTAGCCAATGGCAGAGGCGGCAGAGTTGGTTGGCCATTGGGCGTGGCACTGGACGAAAGACAGACACAACTTGGGCCAGAGCAACTAGTCACGTATGAACAGAACTTAACGTATAACGTAAGAGTATGAAACGAACATCACGCACGACGTAACGCACGGACGCCTAACGTATAACGTAAGAGTATGAAACGAACATCACGCAATCGACGTAAGATTGCACAGCAAACATCACGCAACCGAACCGGATGAGAAGTGAGAAAGAAGAACGACGTAACGACATAACGGTAACACTGACGTAACGCCTGAAACGCACAGAACCAACTCGGCCAGCTCCGGTGCCAACAACAATTTCTGAGGCCGTTCTTTTGTGGCTAAGCTGCAAAATAAAAATTAACAATAAACGATTAAATTAAATATAAATAGAAGAAAGAAAAAACAAAAACAAACAAACAAATAACAGCAACAAAAAGCAATTCAAAAGAAACGAAAAAGTGAACTAAGAAAAGGCATATTTTATTATTATTATTATTATTATTAACATATTATTATTTAATAACTATTCAAGCAAAAACATTGTACAATGTGAGCAGAAAGAGAACGCTTTCCACCTATTTTTGGTTTATTATTCATGTACTTTATTGTGTTATATACTTTATAAATTTTGTGTTAATCAACTACTCAAGTAAACAAGTAAACAAATATATAATATCTAACTATACACATGTGCATATACATGCATACATCGATGTGTGTGTATGTCTGTATGTACACGCCGATGTATCCTTACATACATACATACATTCGTTGTACAACACACTCAAAGTCCTCAGAGTCAATGTTTATTTTTTAATTATGTAATTTGTTTCCAAACATTTTCAATTTAAGACACCAAAAAATAAAAATAAATCAATGAAAACTGAAATTAAACAAATTTATGTGTAAACCAATAAAAAAAAAAAATAAAAACATTTTATTGAATAGATGCAAATTTATGTAGAAGAAAAATCAATGTAATGAAGAAATTTTGAAGATGCTGCCAAAGATTTTTTTGTTTTCTTTTTTTATTTAAGTATACACTGAAAAAACAAAAAAAATATAATGAATGAAGTGAGATGAAAGCAACAACAATTATTATTATTATATATATATTTATATATATATGATAAATATGAACTACAACTATTATGTACGACGATAATGAAGCGTATTAACTTTTTGTTTATATATATACATACATTTATTATAATTCTACAACTATATTAAACAAAAAAAAAAAAAAAGAAGAAGAAAATAATAAAATGCAAAATGAAAATGAATTGTGAGAAAAACGTAACGAAATATTTTCGGAATACTTGCTCAGTTGGCAAATCAACTAAACACACACACATATATATATATATATATATATATATA